TGCCCGGAGCTGCTGAGAGAAGCAGCGAATTTGATTGAGGAAGCTCTGAGCAGAAGTCCAACGGCTCCCGCGGCACCGGTGACTCCGGCAGCTCAGTCACAGCAGATACCGGCCGCTCAATCACGTACACCTGTCCAAGGTAAGCTAAGTAATTTCATGTTAGCCAGGTGTGCTACTATTTAATGATTCGGGACACACGTGTAGGTTAAATTAGATCGACTCGAACAGTTTATACCACTCAAGTAGCTTATATGTAATTGTTAAATGGGAGAATGGAATGCACAAAATTATATAATTGATAAAAATGTTATATGTATGTATGTGAATATTGTGCACAATATACTCTTGTTATCTGGAATAATCAATATTAAGGATGCTATTCTAGAATTACAGCCAATAGAAGTTTTTCTCCCTTTCTTGTTAAATGTTACCAAATCCAGTTACCTGTATTAGGCCGCCACTTTTTTTCCAGTGTTATTATCAGTATTTTATTTCAGGTGATGTTGCTATCGGAGAGGGAGTGATGCGGTACTTTATGACAACAATCATATCCAAACTCCAGTTTGGATTCAGTCTAGATCTTGGTAAGTATCTTACTAATTTTTTGAAGGTTAATCCATCTATAAATTGCAGAAAAGTCTGTCTGTAGCGCATGTCTCTCAGTTAGTCCGATGGATTTCAAACTTGACAGGTGTCTTGCTCTGGTCACGAGTAAGTGCAGTGCCAAGTTTGACGACGTTTGGATAAACGCAAAAGATAGCGTTACATATATAGGTAAAAGAAGCACACATTGGCTTTTGCCGCTCTTGCTGCTTGCCATTCTCACACTGCATGCAACGCTGACTGAGCACCTGTTTGTGTCGTGACTCACTCTACACCGCCTCTCTCTATGCGCGCGCACACACACACACACGCGTACACGTACGTTCTGGTGGTTGATGAACGCGGATATGTGCTGTTTAGCGGAGGGCCGGTGGGCAATGTTTTGTGTCAGGTAAGTCTGTAGTAGGGTATACAGGGGAATTGAATTTGAAGTGGTTTGGGGTCCTTCTGTAAGTCATTTTGGAGTAGGCTACAATTTGGTTTAAGTGAATTCTACAAGCAGCAATACCACAGGCCAAGTAATCGCCACTAGTATGATGTAATATATCTATCTATCTATCTATCTATCATACATTTTTATTTAATGTATTTAAGAGGTTAATTGTTGTGACTTTATTCCCTGCTCTCTTGGTACTTTACAGGAGGAATGGGCCGAACACTGCTATTTGAGGGTGAACCTGACCATCTTGTTCCAGCAGCATCAGAGGCACTTATTGAAAGCAACCTCTTCCGGGTTGCAGGAAGGATGTTGGGCCACACCTTTCTGCATGATGGTCCCCATGTCACAGGACTAAGTCCTGCTGTAATTCATGTACTGTTCAATGGGGACCCTGAAATGGCTACTGTTGTTACAGAAGACTGTCCTGATCTGCACATCAGGAGCATCATAGAACTGGTATGTAACCTAAAAGAAACTTTGCCATGTAAAAAATATTGCTTGGGCAGATATAATAACTTGTATGGTCTTAATTCTAGCTTGAACATGTAGATCTTACACCGGAACAGAAGGACACAGTTTCAGATCTTTCCATGTCTTGGGATCTTCCGGCAGTCACCAAAACAAATCGGAGATGGCTACATAACAAACTTCTACTCCATGCAGTGAGTTCCTGCTGGTTAAGTGACAGAATTCATCGCTGTACTTGTTGAAATTATAGAATGTGTTGTGAACCCTGGCTTGTTATGTTAACACGAGAGTTTAAGTACTAGAGTTTTAATGGATTTTTATAAAGCACTTTATTGTGTTTATTAACATTTTTCCTACTGTGCCAACTTTTGTCAAATTTGGGTTAAGGATTTGGGCTGTAATATGGGTCGGTCTGTCTCTTAGGTCGTTGGGAGGACCATGCGCCAAATTAAACAGTTGAGAAAGGGACTGAAAGATGTGATGGTATGGCCCCTGCTGACATCTAGGCCGGATGTTGTACCACTTCTTTTCCCCAAAATGGCTGAAATGCAGTTCACACCCCAGGTAAGTCAGTAATTTAGTTATATTTGTGACTTAACTTGATGAATTTACGTGTATTTTCAATGACTGAGATGGATATTTTTCCATTTTCTAAGAATTTGATCTGCATAGTCCTTCACCAAAATAAGTTCTCCCTTTTTTTAAATTACAATTTTTGTTTTCTTTAAGATGCTCCTAGAAAAAATCACATGGCCAGTTGAGGACAGTGATGATGAAGACTTTGACACCACCTGCCGCATCACTGGCTTTCTAAGGATGTTCATTGAAACAGGTATAAACCTTATTTTCTCTCTTTACAAATGCTTCTATGTCTCATGGATAGATATGATCAATTACAGTTGAACTAAATGTCTTTAATCCATTTTATGACTTTTAGCTTCATCAGGTACCCTGGCCCAGCTGCTGACATTCTGGGTTGGCTGGGAGATGCTTCCTCCTGAACTGAGAGTGGAGATTTCTGGGGGAACCCTTCCTACGTCCTCCACATGCTTTGAAACCCTAAAGCTGCCAGCTCATTTCAAACTCTACATGGACTTTGAGAAAGCACTTGTCGCTGCCATAAAAAGTACTGGATTTGGGCTTGTTTAAGTTTTTTCAGACGTCAATTAGGGCTGGGCAATATTTTAATATTATATCTATCGTGATATAAGACTAGATATCGTCTTAAGGTGCTTTTCCATTACCAGTACCTACTTGACTCGCCTCGACTCGCTGTGCGTCCGTTTCCCATTGCAGATTTTAGGACGAGGCGAGTAGGTACCATGTAATGGAAAAGCACCATTAGATTTTGAAGAAGTGTAATATCGTTACATGGTAAGTTTAGTCTTTTCCTGGTTTCAAAGGCTGCATTACAGTAAAGTGATGTCATTTTCTGAACTTACCAGACTGTTCTAGCTGTTCTATTATTTGCCTTTTACCACTTAGTCATTATATCCACAATATGATAGTTATTTATCCGAAATCTAAATGTGGAAGATATTTTGTGAATGCACCAATTGTCAACCTTACAATATCGTTGCAATATCGACATCAAGGTGTTAGGTCAAAAATGTGATATTTGATTTTCTCCATATTGCCCAGCCCTAATGTCAATGCATACACAGTTCAGATGAATTGACACAAGTTCAGTGTCTTTGAAAACATTAACACACTGTGCAGTAGTTTACTTTTTTTTCTTCCATTTACTAAAATCAAACTGTTCTGCACCTTCAGTGCTAACAGTACAGCATTCATGTTAGTCATTCTGTGGACCATAATGAGACAGGAAGCTTCAAAGAAACAGCTTTTTTTCCTTTCTTTTAAAAGGAAAGTAAACTTTCAGTTTTTCCTTGCTTGTTCTAACACAACAAATAAAAACATGGGTTGGACATCAGTCTAAGATTCTTGATAACACTTCCACAGTCTCTACATATAGTCTAAGTGCATCAGTAACAGAAACTCCTGGAGCTGGCAAAATTGCAACCTCTTCATCTGAGAGCTCACGGGCCAGCTGAACCTCGGGGACTGACACAGTGCCTCGATGAAGGCAGTGAGGTCCGTTCCAATCGATCCCATATTCTTCAGGAACCTGAATGGATGACAAGCATAATCAGTCTTGTACTTAAAACTAGTTTGACATGTCCTTACACAAGATTGTTATTTTTGGTCACCAAGGCAGTGAGAAATGAAATGTTACTTATTCAGTTTTATAAAATAATACAGCTTTGCATAGTATGCACTGTAGAAACTACAGCTCACAGGTTGATGTCTTTCCATAAGCGGGCTTCCTTCACCTTTCAAAGGGGCAGAGCTCCAAATTAAAAATACATTTAAATAATGCCCATATTATTATCTACTCACTTGGAACATGCACACCTCTTGCATTCAGGTGACCACGCATTAGCTTGTAGCCGGTGTTTGGATGACTTTGTGAATTTCACTTACAATACGGTCTAACTCCTCATCATTCACAGCTGAATAGAGATCTGTCTTTCTGTACAAACAAGAAAAACACAACATCAAGTAATGTTACCTTAAACGTCATATTCTTTCCGAGTGTATGAGAGCAGCAATTCATAAACAGAAAACTCATGAATTTAGTGTAAATACCTTAAACTGTATTGTTGCATGCGCCTCCTGATGGTCCTCTTTGACACACCGAACATCGCTGCAAATTTGAACTGCGGGAACTCCACAAAGAAGTTGATGCTCCAGAACTGCACTCGGTATGTCAAACGCCAAACGCCCCGGTCCCTGTGTGTGTTGGGCCTGAAGTGCCCTGGTACCAGAGAAGCGGTGGACAACTTCTTCTAGATTTGCAATCACTCTGTGGTCGATATCTTCGTCAGAAAGTGCGGAAATGACTCCAACAACTTCAATAAGTTCCTCTGCTTTACTAGCTACATGCTCTGGGTCAGCAGGTCCTGCTTCTACATCCTCTGCTAAGTTTAAAATGTCTCTAACCAACTCCCTGGAAAGTTCACGGAGATCCTCCATTGTCTCTATCCAGGTTGGCCTACTCTACTTCAGACCAAAGCAATGGATCAGACTAGATTCGCGTTAGCCCCGCCCACTGACTTTGATGGGTCAGTTTGACAGTTTTAAGTAATTCATGAATCACTCCAACGCAGGACCATGAAATGTAAATGTAAATAGTGAAATAATTATATATGTATTTTACATAAAATGAATCGGTATTTGAATTAATTAATGATACATTTAATTACACATTTATGTATTTAATTCTAATTTGAATTAATTAATGACACATTTAATTAATTAATGACACATTTAAGTAATTATTTAATGGTGTATTTATTTATTTAATTGTGGCACTTTTAGTCCTCCATATGCGCTCACTAAAAATGTTTTTAAAAATGTGAGGGAGTGCCAAGATGGAGGCACCGTGGCTTCAACACAGCGCCCCCTATCTGTCATCTAGTGTTTATATAAATAATTGGTTGTCAGCAGTCAGGTTGTTTCAGTGTTCTTGACCTCCTAAAATGGCTGGTGTTCGAGCCCTGGGTGCTCTCTCCAGAATTACAGCAAGAAGATACGTCCTCTCAGGTACAATTGTGTTGAAATGTGTGAAATTCATGCCAAAGTCAAATGTTTTTCGATTGTTTAGACACATTTTGGAAACCGGCGCATCTCTAGCTAGCAGCTAACTTGGCTAGCTAACGTTAACTGTCAGAAGTCTACCGGTAACTAGTTAACCTAGCTTACTAACTAATTTACTGTGTTAACAACAAAACGTTACTGGTACACACATCTGGCTTTAGCTACCTATTTGTATTTCATTAACTAAGATTAAGATAACTGCTTACTAACTTGACCCGAGCGAACTTTCACCGAGTGAGCAAACTACTGACGTCACATGAATTAAGTTAGTTGGCTAACGTTAGCCTAGCTGGCTAGCTATGATCACTCACTCATCGCCAAATCAAACTTTTCATGCAATTTAATTGTTTTCTTTATACATCTACACTTTACATTAGATACTTCCATTTGTCATTCATTGTCTAATTTGCTCACTCAGTCTAACCGTCTGCCAGACTGATTTTAGCTGTATCTAGGTGAAAGTTCATTGTGTCTGAGGTCAGACATTAGCCCCCCATACGTCTTGTCATAAACACTAGTCCTGAGTTATCTGTTGCAGCCCCAGGCCTAAATATTAAATCAAGCGTGGCCTAAATATTTCACCCCATACAGAGACACACCCCCCCCCCCCCAAGCCTTTTTTTGTTAGCTAGCTAGTTTCCTTATCATAATCAGTAGCTAATGTATGGAATTTAGCTAACCCTCTAATAATTTTGTATTTTTAGATATCTCATGCCGTACCTTTTCAGTTGCCCCTGCCATGTCAGGTAAGTTGAACGACTACTTGTTGTGATTATAACTTGATTATAAAATAAAAGTATGTAGTTAAGTTGATCACATTTTTTTTCTCAGCCCGAACCCATGTCAACTATGAAGTGAAAGAGGATGTGGCAGTCATTCGGATGAATGACCCAAATTCTAAGGTAATTTATTTAAAGATACATTTTCCATGTATAGTACCAATCAAATTTCAATCAATCAAATGTATTTATAAAGCCCTTTTTACATCAGCAGATGTCACAAAGTGCTATACAGAAACCCAGCTTAAAACCCCAAACAGCAAGCGGGGGAGCTGCATTAGCTGTAGAACATAATTGCATGAAACTGAAAATCAAAATCCGTATTGTATGTCTATCCATGTTTTTGCAGGTCAACACTCTGTCGGTCCAGATGCAAAATGAGATGATAGAAGTATTTAATGAGGTCTTGGCCAACGATGCAGTCCAGAGTGCTGTCCTCATCTCCTCCAAGCCTGGCTGCTTCATTGCAGGAGCTGACATCAAGTCAGTCACACCTTTCACATTATATGATAGAAATATGAAAATTTTAGATTTGGTGGCACCTAGGCTTACATATACTGTGTAATTGAAATGCTGCACTCAGATTAGAAAGTAGCCTAGTTCAGGCCTACACGATACTCAATGTTGCATTTCAGTACTATGTGCAAGGTTCAGGTGTTCTAGGGTTCTAATTGTTCTGGTCTCTCTCTCTCCCCTGCTTTCTCTCCTCTCCTTTACAGCATGATCCAGGCCTGTAAGACCTCAGAGGAGGTCACAAAGCTTTCTCAGGAGGGACAGAAGATGTTTGAGAGGATTGAGAAATCACCCAAGCCTATTGTTGCGGCCATCAACGGCTCCTGCTTAGGAGGCGGGTTAGAGGTGAACAAAATGACTTCCTTTACACTAATACATAACAATTATATTATTGAAAAAATACTATTAATACGACTTGCGACAGCAAACGTCCCAGTTTAAATCTCTCATAGTTGACTTTTTATTATTATTTAGTTAAGCATCATCCAGACAGTTGTTGTTTTGGTCAAAGTTCCATTCCTGAGATTTCTTTGGCTGACTTGGTTGCTTGCGTGTATCACAACCGGCCGTGATTGGGAGTCCCATAGGGCGGCGCACAATTGGCCCAGCGTCGTCCGGGTTTGGCCGGTGTAGGCCGTCATTGTAAATAAGAATTTGTTCTTAACTGACTTGCCTAGTTAAATAAAGGTTAAAATATCAAAACACTAGGCTATTTCCACTATTACGAGCTTAAATGTGTTACTCAAACTGTTTTTGCTTCCTGTTTTTTCCCTGGTCTTGGAACTCATTTCTATGTCACTACTAAATCTGCGCATTGCTAGTCTTGTACAGTGCATTCGGAAAGTATTCAGACCCCTTGATTTCCCCCCCCCCCCCCCCCCCCCCCACACACACACATTTTGTTATGATACAGCCTTATTCTAAAATGGATTACATAAATTTTTTCCTCATCAATCTACACACACCCCATACTGACAAAGCGAAAACAGGTTTTTTTCCAAAAATACCTTATTTACATAAGTATGCAGACCCTTTGCTATGAGATTCGAAGTTATGCTCAGGTGCGTCCTGTTTCCATTGAACAGGACACACCTGTCCATGATTTGGAAAGGCACACACCTGTCTATATAAGATCCCACAGTTCACGACGCCAGGACAGCGGAGTCACTCACCACCTTCCGGAGACATTTGAAACCCCACCTCTTTAAGAAATACCTGGGATAGGATAAAGTAATCCTTCTACCCCCCCCCCCCCCCCCCCCCCCCCCAAAAAAAATTAATAATTGTAAAGTGGTTATCCCACTGGCTATAAGGTGAATGCACCTATTTGTAAGTCGCTCTGGATAAGAGCGTCTGCTAAATGACAGTGCAGGTCAGAGGAAAACCAAGCTCCAAGACAGGATTGTGTTGAGGCACAGATCTGGGGAAGGGTACCAAAACATTTCTGCAGCATTGACTGTCCCCAAGAATAGTGGCCTCTCATTCTTAAATGGAAGAAGTTTGGAACCACCAAGACTCTTCCTAGATCTGGCCGCCCGGCCAAAGTGAGCAATCAGGGGAGAAGGGCCTCGGTTAGGGAGGTGACCAGAACCTGATGGTCACTCTGACAGAGCTCCATAGTTCCTCTGTGGAGAAGGGAGATCCTTCCAGAAGGACAACCATCTCTACAGCAGTCCACCAATCAGGTAGAGTGGCCAGACAGAAGCCACTCCTCAGTTAAAGGCACATGACAGCCCGTTTGAACTTTGCCAAAAGGCACCTAAAGACTCTCAGACCATGAGAAACAAGATTCTCTGGTCTGATGAAACCAAGATTGAACTCTTTGGCCTGAATGCCAAGGGGTCTGAATACTTTCCGAATGCACTGTGTGTAGCCACGCGCTCTGTTGGCACATGCCATGAGGTCTAAATATCCCTTTAAACATGACCAACTGAACACCGTATGTATTAACTTATCATTATCAAATATTCTAGTGCGGAAATATTTGTGACGTGAATAGCCAACATTTCACTCCAAAACGGGAGTAGATTTTCTCTCACTTCAGCTCAAAAACAGCCGCCATGTTTTCCAAATTATTTTTGAACTGCAGACTGATCACATGACTGATATCTGCGCTCTAATTGAAGGATTCCTAAAAATTGCCCCCTAGGTGGCACTAGTGGTCCCTGATTATTTTTTAAAAATGCAAATTTTCAATGGAAAAATGTTGCAGCAACCATTGCTGGCAATATTGCCCCAACAGATTGCCAATGAGTCATGGCCTAGCCTGGGGCTAAGAACAATGCAGTGTGAAAAGGCCTATTGTAACTTTTGACACATCAGCTACTTTGACCACCAACAACTTAGACAAAGACTTAGAGGGCATGACATCTTGGTCTACTTCTCTGCTATTCAAATCTGAAATCGTGAAAAGAGATATTCTACCGCTCAAATGATACAGCTGTTTTAGTAACCAACTACATTTTATCTAAACTTTTTAAAGGGCTACTTTTAAAGCGATACTTCAAGATTTAGGCAATTTAGCCCTTTACTTCCCCGGAGTCAGATTAACTTGTGGATACCATTTTTATGTGTCTGCGTCCTGTATGAAGGAAGTTGGAGGTAGTTTTGCGAGCCAATGCTAACTAGCATTAGCAATGACTGGACGTCTATGGTAACATCTAGCAAGCAACTTCCTTCAAACTGCACACACACAAATGGTATCCACAAGTTCATTTAACTCTGGTTAAGTAGATAAAGGGCTTCATTGCCAAAATCCCTAAGTATCCCTTTAAATTTTGTGTAAAAATTTGACCACTTTCCCAACAATGTATGACATCTTAGTCTACTTCTCTGCTTTTCAAATCTAAAATCAGAACACTTCTTCCACTACAACAAAAATACATTTTAAAGAGCTAAAGCAAGTCTCACAATTTTACTTCATGTAAAATTACCGTCTAGTATCATAAGAAATTACAAAAATTATCTCGGTCAACAAGACAAATTTGACATGACTTCCTTTCTTCCTAAGTTATCGATTTCTAAATGTTATATTTAATGTGTTGTGTTTTTAGTTTGCCATTGCCTGCCAGTACAGAGTTGCTACAAAGAGCAAGAAGACAGTCCTGGGAACCCCTGAGGTGATGCTTGGTCTTCTGCCTGGAGCTGGAGGAACACAGAGACTCCCTCAAATGGTCAGTATCTGGGAAAATACTTTATAAATTCATAAACCCTACCTGAACAGCACAGTAGAACTTTGATCTGAAATACACTGAACAAATATATAAACGCAACATGCAACAATTTCAAAGATTTTACGGAGTTAGTTCATATAAAGAAATCAGTCAATTTAAATTAAATTCATTAGGCCCAAATCTATGGATTTCACATGACTGGGAATACAGATATGCACCTGTTGGTAACAGATGCCTTAAAAAAATTTTTTTTTTAAATAAAACTTTGGGGCGTGGATCAGAACCAGTCAGTATCTGGTGTGACCATTTGCCTCATGCAGCGCGACACATCTCCTTCGCATAGTTAATCAGGCTGTTGATTGTGGCCTGAGGCATGTTGTCCCACTCCTCTTCAATTGCTGTGCGAATTTGCTGGATATGGGTGGGATCTGGAACACAACACGCTGTCGTAACATGTCGATCCAGAGCATCCTGAACATGCTCAATTGGTGACATGTCTGAGTATGCAGGCCATGGAAGAACTGGAACATTTTCTGCTCACAGGAATTGTGTACAGATCTTTGTGACATGGGGCCGTGCATTATCATGCTGAAACATGAGATGATGGTGGCAGATGAGTGGCATGACAATGAGCCTAAGGATCTCGTCACGGTATCTCTGTGCATTCAAATTGCCATCGATAAAATGGAATTGTGTTTGTTGTCCGTCGCTTATGCCTGCCCATACCATAACCCCACCGCCACCATGGGGCACTCTGTTCACAACGTTGACATCAGCAAACCGCTCGCCCACACGACTCCATACACGCTATCTGCCCGGTAGAGTTGAAACCGGGGATTCAACAGTGAAGAGCACACTTCTCCAGCGTGCCAGTGTACCGCTGAAGATGAGCATGTGCCTACTGAAGTCTGTTACGACGCCGAACTGCCGTCAAGGCAAGACCTTGGTGAGGATGACGAGCACGCAGATCAGCTTCCCTGAGACTGTTTCTGACAGTTTGTGCAGAAATTATTCGGTTGTGCACAATTTTTATTTTATTTCAGCTCATGAAACATGGGACGAACACTACATGTAGCTTTTTCTAATATTTTTTTGGTCAGTGTAGTATTTCAGAGTGATATTGGTACATTGCAACAGCAACTCATAGTCACTACAGTATGCACGTAGTGACTGTACTGCAGAATGCTACAGTATTCTTTAAATACATTGATCTGATTTGCAGCACTCTTTGCCTGTTATAGTAGTTTCATTTTCTTGATTTGTTGTTGGCAGATTAAAAAGAAATGCAATAAAATGGAACGCTGTCATAGTAGTGTAAACCATATGTTGTTTTCAGGTCGGTATTCCCGGTGCCTTTGACATGATGCTGACTGGAAGAAACATCAAGGCAGACAAAGCCAAGAAAATGGGTCTGGTGCATCAGCTAGTGGACCCACTAGGTATAGTAGTCACTGAACTAATATTAGTCAAGAAAAGTTACTGATAAGTGCAGACCAGTATTGATAAAATGTTTTAAAATAAATGGAAATTGTTTACATGTTAGGTAGCTTCAGTGAAGGTGTCTAACTGCTGCTTATTGATGCCCTTTTTGATATTCTAGGACCTGGGTTGAAGAGTCCAGAGGAGAGGACGATTGAGTACCTGGAGGAGGTTGCCATACAGTGTGCCAGAGGAATTGTCAACAAGAAGATCTTGCTCACCAAGAAAAAAGGCATGATGCAGAGTAAGTGTTTGTGTATTAGAGCCAAATGCCATGTAGATATACATAGCTCTTGGTATAGTGCCAAAAAACACTACTATATATAATCTACATAATACCAAGGCAGGTTTTTAAATGTACAGTGCATTCGGAAAGTATTCAGACCCCTTGACCTTTTCCACATTTTGTTACGTTACAGCCTTGTTCTAAAATGGTTAAATAAATAACAATTCTCATCAATCTACACACAATAACAAAGCAAAAACAGGTTGTTAGAAATGTTTGCAAATGTATTAAAAATAAACAGATACTTTATTCACAAGTATTCAGACCCTTTGCTATGAGACTTGAAATTGAGCTCAGGTGCATCCTGTTTCCATTGATCTTCCTTGAGATGTTTCTACAACTTGATTGGAGTCCACCTGTGGTAAATTCAATTGATTGGACATGATTTGGAAAGGCACACACCGGTCTATATAAGTTCCCACAGTTGACAGTGCATGTCAGAGCAAAAACCATGCCATGAGGTCGAAGAAATTGTCCGTAGTGCTCCGAGACAGGATTGTGTCAAGGCACAGATCTGGGGAAGGGTACCAAAACATTTCTGCAGCATTGAATGTCCCCAAGAACACAGTGGCCTCCATCATTCTTAAATGGAAGAAGTTTGGAACCACCAAGACTCTTCCTAGATCTGGCTGCCCGGCCAAAGTGAGCAATCAGGGGAGAAGGGCCTCGGTTAGGGAGGTGACCAGAACCTGATGGTCACTCTTACAGAGCTCCAGAGTTCCTCTGTGGAGAAGGGAGATCCTTCCAGAAGGACAACCATCTCTACAGCACTCCACCAATCAGGCCTTTATGGTAGAGTGGCCAGACAGAAGCCACTCCTCAGTTAAAGGCACATGACAGCCCGTTTGAAGTTTGCCAAAAGGCACCTAAAGACTCTCAGACCATGAGAAACAAGATTCTCTCTGTCTGATGAAACCAAGATTGAACTCTTTGGCCTGAATGCCAAGCATCACATCTGGAGGAAACCTGGCACCATCCCTACGGTGAAGCATGGTGGTGGCAGCATCATGCTGTGTGGATGTTTGTCAGCGTCATGGACTGGGAGGCTAGTCAGCATCGAGGCAAAGATGAACGGAGCAAAGTACAGAGTGATTCTTGATGAAAACCTGCTCCAGAGCGCTCAGGACCTCAGACTGGGGCAAAGGTTCACCTTCCAGCAGGACAACGACCCTAAGCACAAAGCCAAGACAACGCAGGAGTGGCTTCGGGACAAGTCTCTGAATGTCCTTGAGTGGCCCAGCCAGAGCCCGGACTTGAACCCGATCAAACATCTCTGGAGAGACCTGAAAATAGCTGTGCAGCGACGCTCCCCATCCAACCTGACAGAGCTTGAGAGGATCTTCAGAGAAGAATGGGAGAAACTCCCCAAATACAAGTGTGCCAAGCTTGTAGCATCATACCCAACAAGAATCAAGGCTGTAATCTCTGCTAAAGGTGCTTCAACAAAGTACTGAGTAAAGGGTCTGAATGCTTATGTAAATGTGAGATTTCTTTTTTATATGTATATTTTTAAATGTCTAAACCTGTTTTTGCTTTGTCATTATGTGTAGATTGAGATTTTTTTATCCATTTTAGAATAAGGCTGTAACGTAACAAAATGTGGAGAAAGTTTCCAGGGGTCTGAATACTTCCTGACTGCATTGTAGGCTTCTCATGTTTGTTTTTCAACCATAACCATATTTTACATCACACTATTAGTCCTTGTTTTTATGTATGTACACAACTTACTTGGACACTTTTTCTAACATTGTTTTTTTCTCTCCTTCCTCTGCAGAAGTCCAAGACTACGTAATGGGTATTGAGTTCGTGCGGCAACAGATCTACAAAAATGTCACTGGCAAAGTCATGAAGATGAGCAAGGGACTGTATCCTGCCCCCTTGAAAATCATTGACGTAGGACTTTGTCATATCTACTTATCCATTCATTGATAAGGATGATTTTTAGTGAGATAAGGATATGAAGTGGCAGCAGTTTTTGAAAGTGGATGTAGAGTTTCAGATTAAACCATGTCTCTCTCATGGTTCTATTGAAAGACACATAACTATTACTCGTTCCCCTCTCTCCCCCCCCCTCAGACTGTAAAGGCTGGCTTGGAACAGGGCCCAGATTCTGGCTATTTGGCAGAAGCACAGGTCAGAGAATATACATAGAGTTAAATTGATTTATGAGTACAGTGTAAATTATTATTATTTTTTAATAAAAGGAAGAATATGCGTATCAATAAGTTGAATGGTTTTGTATTGAACATGGCTTTCTCTGAGTCGCTGTTTTATAATTATAATTTATTTACAGAACTTTGGCAAACTGGCAATGACTTCTGAGTCAAATGCCCTGATCGGTCTTTACCACGGCCAAGTGGCATGCAAGAAGAACCGCTTTGGAGTCCCTGAGAGACCGGTCAAGTAAGTGATGACCTTTGACCCAAAACCAGTTAAATAGCTAATTTCACGTTTCAATCAGTGAAAAATGCGAACCTTATTACAAATATTGTAATACTGTTCAGACGATTCAGAGATTCTTGGAGATCAAACCATTTATGTTGATTTCATAATTTGAGAAAGGTCATGACATTAACCTTTGACATTGTAACTGGAGATATGTACAAACAAAAATAATAAGTGGGGGATCCTTGGTGGACAATAATTCCATTCTATTGTATTCTAACATGTTTCTTCATTCCGCATCCACCAGGAACCTGGCCATCTTGGGAGCAGGTCTGATGGGTGCAGGCATTGCCCAGGTGACTGTGGACAAGGGCATCCATACTGTCCTGAAGGACACCACCGTGGAAGGGCTGAGCAGGGGTCAGCAGCAGGTCTACAAAGGGTGGGTTTACCAGAGAGCAATACTGCCCTACAAAGGCAAAGTGCAGTAACTACGAATATTGATCTGTTGTAATGGCCAGGTATATTATCTGATCAATGTGGTATTTACTTTCCTGAAATAAGAACAAGCCAGTCAATCAGAATATATAATGAAGTACCAGAAATGGTTGTCGGTCTAGACAGAAAAAGAGGAATAGCGCACCACTAATTAGCTATTGGCTCTATTTCGGCTACACAGTGACCTAGTCTGGCATATGGGGTCACAGGGCGGTTAAACTCCTAGGAATGCTTTCCTACAGATACAGATTAAAAGCTTGCATTTTAGTCCAGGACTAGGCTTAATCTGTTTATAGGGATCTGGCCCTTCAAGCATGGCTGGAATTGTTGATAAAGAAGAAGCTAAATGTTGTTGAACCTGCCCTAATCTCTCTTGAGACTGTTAATTGGGTTGCTAGTACCGAGGTTAAACCTGCCCTCACTTTCCTCACCAGCCTCAATGACAAAATGAAAAAGAAGGCCATCACGTCATTTGAGAGGGACTCCACACTGTCCAGCTTAACTGGCCAGTTGGACTACAGCGGTTTTGAGAAGGCTGACATGGTCATCGAAGCTGTGTTTGAGGACATCAACATCAAACACAGAGTCATCAAGGAGGTGGAAGCTGTAAGTGGCGCAGAATTTAAAAATCAGGATTGTGCTCATTAGGGCATGGAACGGAAAGCTTTTTCTTATAAAAAAAACTAAAATAAGCATTTCTTATTGGACAAGATTGTTCTAAATTAACTTTTGTCTAATCACAGGTGATTCCGCCTCACTGTATATTCGCCACCAACACGTCTGCTCTCCCCATCAAAGATATTGCTGCTGCTAGCATGAGGCCAGAAAAGGTAGGTTTAGTAAGAGTTCAATGGGATTAACATTCCTGTTCAAAAAGGCTGTCCCTTATTGATCCTTCAAGCCGGATTCAAGCCACTCACTAGAATCCCTTTGTCCACAATAACCTCTCATACTACATGGTTTGGGCTGGGTATTGTCTCTGTATAAGTAAGCCTTGTCCAAGCAAGAACATCCCATAGAGGCTTTCTGTTGTGTGAAGCAGCTTGATGTACAAGTACACCTCCTGGACAGGACGCTAGTCTGTTGCAGGGCCTTACCCCCAATCCAGGGATACTTCGGCATTTTGTCTACTTCCCCAGAGTCAGGTGAACTTGTGGATACCATTTTTATGTGTCTGCGTGTGCATTTTGAAGAAAGTTGCTACCTAGCGCAATTGTTAACTAGCGTTAGCATAATGACTGGAAGTCTATGGCATCTGCTAACATGCTAGCAGATACCTGTAGACTTCGTCATTGCGTTAACGCTAGTTAGCATTGGCTTGTTAAACTGCCTCTAGCGTCCTTCATACTGGACACAGAGACATAAAACATTTATCCACTAGTTAATCTGACTCTGGGGAAGTAGATGAAACGCCTCATTGCCAAAATCCCTTTAATACTAGTACTAAGCAGAGAGGAGGCAGGTCCCATTTTCAGAGTCTTTGGTATGACTTGGTCAGTGATTGAACCCCCAGTCTTCCAATCTCTGGGCGGACACTAACCACAAGGCCACTGCGTTGGTTTTCTGTATAAATGGAGACGTTACAGTAAATGAAGTTGTATTTTCTATTCCTGTAGGTGATTGGGATGCACTACTTCTCTCCAGTGGACAAGATGCAGCTGTTGGAGATAATCACTACAGATAAGACCTCTAAAGACACCACTGCCTCTGCTGTTGCTGTAGGCCTGAAGCAGGGGAAAGTCATCATCGTTGTCGGGGTGAGTGAGCTTCTGCTCAGTGCCCACTTCCCATGTTCTCCCTAAGCTTGTTGATAAACAGAACTACACTAATACATTAATTTTATATAGCTATACTGTAGTGCTTTTCATGGGCCCATAATACTTTGTGTGCTTGTTTGCAGGATGGACCTGGGTTCTACACCACCAGGTGTCTGGCTCCTATGTTAGCCGAGGCAGTGAGAGTACTACAGGTTAGTGTTGTCACACACACAGTCTATTCATCTACAATGTTGTATTGGGATGGCGTGGGTATTGTGTCTCCAAAAAATTAAATAATGCACCTGTATATCTGTGCTGTGTGTGTGTTCTCAGGAGGGTGTTAGCCCCAAGAAGCTGGATGCGCTAACCACAGGCTTTGGGTTCCCAGTGGGTGCTGCTACACTGGCTGACGAGGTGGGTATTGATGTGGCTGCCCATGTGGCTGAGGACCTCGGCAAAGCATTCGGATCCAGGTTCGGAGGTGGAAACGTTGAGGTGCTGAAGACTATGGTGGAGAGAGGATTCAAGGGTAAATTCTTGTTTGTAGGACTTTGAGACAAAGGCTCTTTCAAAATTAAAAAACTTCCCTTGATTCCTTGCATCCCTTATTCTTGCTTTCTTTCTCAAAATGCATTGGAGGAGAAGGTAAGAGGGGAGGAACTTTGGATCTTCTCCACCAATGAGGTTTGAGAAGGAGGCGAGGATGCGAAGAATCAAGGAAAAACTGAGGGAAACTAATTATATCATGGGAAATGCATGATCCCTCATTGGTTTTTATCTGATACCAATTAGATGTATTTTCCATCAACAGGCCGCAAATCAGGAAAGGGCTGCTACGTGTATACGCCAGGACTCAAAAGCAAAGATGTCAACCCTGATATTGACGACCTCCTGGAGAAATTCAAATTGACACCAAACCTTTCAGTGTAAGTAGCAACCACGGGGGAAATGTCACCTCTAAAGTGACTTACAGTACAGTGAATGCATACATGTTTTGTATGTGATCCCAGTGGGAATTAAACCCATGGCATTGGCTAGTTCCACCCTCTTACCAACTGAGCCACACAGGATCCTATACTCTCCACACCACCACTTAACGGTCTGGATCTTCTTCCTCCAGGTCTTCAGACTCTGATGTCCAGTACCGTCTGGTCTCTCGGTTCGTCAACGAGGCAGTGATGTGTCTGCAGGAGGGGATCCTGAACGGCCCCGTAGAGGGAGATATAGGAGCTGTGTTCGGACTGGGATTCCCTCCTTGCCTTGGCGGTAGGGATTCACTCTATAGCAGGGGTATTCAAATTAGTCTGGAGGTCCGGACGGAGTACTGCTGGTTTTCTGATCTATAATTAATTCTGATAATGAATTGCATCACCCGGTGTCCCAGGTCTAAGTCAGTCCCTGACTAAAGGACAAGAATGAGAATCAGCAGTGGAGCTTAAATATTCCTGCTCTAGACGGCTCATAATAATGGCTAGAATGGAGTAGAATGGCATGGCATCAAGAATGAAAACCATGTTTGATACAATTCCATTAACTCCATTCCGGCAATTATTATGAGCAGTCCTCCCCTCAGCAGCCTCCACTGCACTAGACTATATGCCACTTAGTGCAGTGACTGCATACATTTTTGCTATACATCTAATCCCTGTGGAAATTGAACCCATGACCTTTCACCATTATTTTACCAGCTGAGCCAGCCACACAGGATGATCACATGACATGAGAATGAACAGCCCTAGTGACGTTGCATGTGTTGTTGAATTCTTTTCAGGTTTAACAGCAGACACAGCCTTTTTGTTGTGCTACAATTAGGACTTTTCTTTTACCTTCTCTTTGAACTTCCCAGTTTAGTCCTTTCTGGTTTGTGGAGCCGGACTTGACTAAATTTAATTTATCAAATTTCAGTATTTTAGACTGAGCTATCAGATATGCCAATATTATTATATCATACTATCATGTGTCCTTTTGAAAGATTGAATCATACAAACATTGTTTTAACCTTTCTCTTTAAACCTTCTCTGTTCAGGTCCTTTCCGGTTTGTGGATACCTTCGGTGCCGACAAGCTAGTGGAGAAGATGAGGAGGTACGAGGAGGTTTACGGCAACCACTTCACCCCGTGTCAGCTACTGCTGGATCACGCCAAGGACTCCAGCAAGAGATTCCACAAGTGACTTTCCCCACCACCATGTCCTGCTACCACCTAATAGCAGGCTGCCATTAGAATATGCCTAGGTTGTGTATTTGTCCGTTAAATAAATAAGCACTGAGCTAAAGTTCAAGTTTGGGTTGCAGAAGAGAAATCATGATGAGGGGCATGTTTTTACAAATCACAAAATGTTTCAAGTTCATAACTTCAGTTTTTTTTTTCATTTGGTTGGTTTTTGTATTTTTTAACATTATTTGACAGTTCTTTTTTTGATAATATTGTGCTGTAATATCCATCTGAGGCAGGTGTAGACCCAACTGGCAATCCTAGTCTTCTGAAAATGTAAATTAAAACCATGTTTTCATCTCAAATGACACTATTCGCTATATAGTGGACTACTTTTGACCAGAGCCACTGTATAGGGTGCCATTTCAGCCTTCATAAGTGATGGGTCTTGGCCTGTTCATAGTCATGTTTATTCATCTGAGGTAAATGTGTTTATTTTTATGATTTTGGTCTTTATGCCATGATTTGGGACGTGATGTATTCATATTTAGAGCCAGTAAATTAATAAATAATGATATTGAAGTAAATTCAAATGCCTAAGCTTATGTAGCTATAATTTGTTTTCAATGAATGTACATTTTAATTGTGCTAATCGGGTAATGTGTTATGCCTATTAGATTACATGTATTAAATAATTGTATTAGGCTACACCTGTTTACAAGGTTTCGCTTTAATCCAATGTGTTTTGTTAGTGACGTGCCTTGTTCCTATTGTCTGCAGCAGAGGGAAGGGTGTGTACTGGGGACGTGGGCTGACTGGCTGACGGCAGTATTTTCTAGCGGTGGTGGCGCAGCATCCTTTGTATCATGTAGCCTTGGTGCGGTGCATGCCGATTAAGGGTGGAGACAGTTATCGTTGTCAGGATCAAGGATATTCGTCGGAGGAAGTACATGTAGTCTACGTCCGTGTGATTAGGTGTGCCCGAGTACAGAATGTTACAATTTTCTGCGAAGGCTATGAAATGGCTTACCTGGGTACCGCTCGGTGGAGGATGCTTCGAGGAAGAGGCGCAACATGAGTCATCTTGATGCGCTATTAGCGACATACAGTGGCTTTTGATTGTGTTGCGGAGAAATCCATTTTTATGGTCAAGGAAGAAATATGTCGAGACCGAAACCGTGCGAGGCGGTGAAGGTGGTGGTGCGATGCCGCCCATTTAACAGGAGAGAGGAGACTATGGACAACGATAACATATTGGAGGTGAATTCAGAACTGGGGCAGATCACATTGAGGAACCCGAGGGCGTCACCTGAAGAGCTCATGAAATCATTCACCTTTGATGCGGTCTACGACTTTGAGTCGAAACAGAGCGATATTTATGACGATACTGTCAGACCTCTTGTAGACTCCGTGTTACAAGGATTCAATGGGACCATATTTGCTTATGGGCAGACTGGGACAGGTAAAACATACACGATGCTAGGTATGCCCACAGACAATGAGAGAGGGATCATCCCAAATTCATTTAACCACATTTTTACACAGATCTCCAGGTCTCAGAATCAGCAATATTTAGTGAGGGCATCCTATCTAGAGATCTATCGGGAGGAGGTCAGGGATCTGTTATGTAAAGACAAGAAACTAGATCTCAAAGAGAACCCAGATTCAGGGGTCTATGTCAAAGACCTGTCTTCGGTTGTCACCAAGAATGTCATGGAGCTCGAACATGTCATGAACATAGGAGATGAGTCCAGGTCTGTGGGGTTTACCAACATGAACGAACGCAGCTCGCGGTCCCATGCCATCTTCATGATCACAGTGGAGTGCAGTGAGAAGGGTGCAGATGGAGAGGACCACATACGGGTTGGGAAGCTGAACATGGTTGATCTGGCTGGCAGCGAACGCCAGAGCAAGACAGGTGCTAAAGGGGAGCGCCTGAAAGAGGCCACTAAAATCAACCTGTCCCTCTCAGCACTGGGTAATGTCATCTCAGCTCTGGTGGATGGGAAGAGCACCCACATCCCTTACAGGGACTCTAAACTGACCCGTCTACTCCAGGATTCACTGGGTGGCAATGCTAAGACAGTCATGGTAGCCACTCTGGGACCAGCGTCCAAGCACTATGAAGAATCCCTGACCACCCTACGGTATGCCAACCGGGCCAAAAATATAAAAAACAAACCCAAAATCAACGAGGATCCAAAGGATGCTCTGCTGAGAGAGTTCCAGGAGGAGATCGCCCGCCTGAAGGCCCAGCTGGAGGAGCGAGGGATGCTGGCCAAGGAGAGGAGGAGGAGAAGGAGGAATAGCAGAAGACTGACTAAAAGCATGATTGTTGAGGATGTAGCCCACAGAGAAAGGGATGCGGAACTGTGGAAGGCACTGGAAGCGGAATGGAAGCAGAATGAGGAATACTATATAAAGGAAGAAGATGAAAGCAAGGTGAAAGAAGAGGAGGAAAAAGGGATAAGTAGATTCAACTCCGTGGATAACTCTGTAGAAGGCAGTCCCAAAACAACTGTAACCTCCAGAATACCAATACATAGATTTAGCTCTGTGGAGGATAGCCCCAAAAAGGCTTTTCCCACCAGTACCCATAGCAGTCCAGGGGCCAGAGAGAAATGGAAGCCATTTGGTGAAAAAGAGCAGATGGAAAAGGAAAGGATGATGGACGACATGCAGAAGGAACAGGAAGCTATGGAAAAGATTATTGAGAAATATAAGGTGACAATAAATATATTATTTTCTCTGTGTATATGAGACAATAATGTGCATTTTGATATCATGTTTAATATGGTACATTATTTATTGGTGATACAGAGGGTCCGTCTTTCCAATAATCAACCATCCATATGGCCATGTATCTTTCTCCAGGCTATGGAGAGCAAAATATTGGCTGGGGGAAAGAACATTATTGACCACACTAATGAGCAACAGAAGATGCTGGAATTGAAGAAGCAAGAGATTGCAGAACAGGTGAGAGGTCGTCTATAAACCAATAGTCTATGTTCATTTGATAGATTGAGGGGGTCATGGAGAAGGCACAAAACAACTAGGCTATCCCTCTAGTATATCAGAAATAGTGCTGTGTCTGATGACCATGATGAAAGTGGTCATTCGATATTATTTAATGTTTCTCGATGTACATGCAGGTTCATTCATTGATTATTTTCTCTGTGTTCTCTTAGATTTTGGTCAGCACCGTAGAGAGCGGCGATGATATTTTTTTTCAAATCGTATATTGTTTGTGTGCAGGCTAGGCCTCGCTTTATTGTGTTTGCATGAATTAAACATGACTACACAAAGGAAGTTCCCACACTGGAAAATAAAAGTACTTTTTATTTGTATTTGTATTTAGATAAGACGGGAAAGAGAGATCCAGCAGCAGGTGATGGCTCAGGATGAGGAGACAGGAGAGCTGAGAGAGACCTTCTCCTCCTTGCAGCAGGAGGTGGATCTCAAGACCAAGAAGCTGAAGAGGGTAAGATGGATGACTAACCAGCAGGGTTGGGGTCAATTCCATTTAATTCCAGTCAATTCAGAAAGTAAACCAAATTCCAATTCTACATTTTCCTAATTGAAAAGCATTGAAGAGATTTGAAATGTCAGTGTACTTTCTGAATTGACTGGAATTGAAATGGAATTGACCCCAACCCTGCTAACCAGTCCTTCCATATCTCTAAAGCCCATCAGGGATCATTATCATCACCTTATGTTTAATTTAAAGTGATTTTAGACAGTGTTTTGATGCAAAATCCTATTCCCTCATTTCTGGTTGTTTTGATTAGAATGTTAATATTTTAATGGTTGTGTTCTCCTATTGTGTTTCCTACCTCGTTGATCCAGTTGTATGCCAAGCTGCAGTTGGTGAAGGCAGAGATTGGGGATGTCATTGATGAGCATGTAGTTACTAGACAGGAGCTTGAGCAGACACAGAATGAACTCACCAGAGAACTCAAGTTCAAGTGAGTATTAATAATGTATAATCACACAGGCACGCACACACATGCGCACACGCAAACACACTACCCCAATTGGTTCACTTTTCACAATATGTTTTTATGTGTTACCTGCAGGTATCTCTTAATTGAGAATTTCATCCCTCCCAAAGAAAAGAACAAGATTATGAACCGGCTTCACTTTGACAGTGAGGAGGACCAGTGGAGGTATAGGCCCTTCCTTCCTTCAGAAAGGTCAGTGAGTTCAGATAGTCTATGCTAGTCTATACTAGTCTATACTAGTCTATGAATTTAATACTCTGTTATTGCAATGGTACTACATATATTATTGACTGGTGCTGAAAGGACAGCCCTGCTAATCGGCCAGGTACTGTATAAAGGTAGCGGTGGCCAGGGCAAACGTTGTGGTGCTGAAAGGACAGCTCTGCAACGCCAGTTACAATAATATCACCTGATGAGGGTAGTCACAATTTGATTATTTCCTTGTATCTCAAGTCAGTTGTTTCTGAAATATGAAATCGAGGTTACTTTGTCACATTAAGATACTGTCTATTATTTTCTTTGCACTCCTTAACCAACTTCTAAACTAGCCTTTCCTCCCTTGCACATCTTATTGCAGTAAATCAGCTCATCAGGTGAAGCGAAGGCCCACGTCTGTGGTGGGATACAAGAGACCTATCAGCCAATATGCACAGATGGCTGTCACAACAGGAGCTCCATCTAGATACCGGGTGGGTTGGTGCTTGGTTTTTTATCTATGGAACATTTTTCATATCTGAGATTGAATTTAAAGGAAAAGTTTTCTTTTTTTTTACAACCAAATCTAAATGTTTTACGTAAATGGCATGTTATAGAAGGGTCCAGACACCTTTTTGTGATTTCACTTGTTTTTGAGAAACTTACCCCAAACGGCAAATCACTTCCTCATCCTCGTTGTGTAGTATGGGGGCCATGAAAACACATGAACAAAGGCTCCGAAAACACCCAAATATGTGTTATATTAAACTCCCTCTCTCTTTCACTCTCATTCATTATTTCTATAGGCTGAGAATGTGATGTTTCTGGAGCTAGATATGAGCCCACCCAGCATGTACAACCTCAACCTTAACGGAGCACACCTGGAGCAGGCCTTTGGAGGTCCTGGTAGTCCCAGGAGAGACTTGCTAGCCAACGTCCCCTTCAGGGACAGGACCACTGTATCAAGAAGGGTCCGGAAGTCACGATCCTGGTGAGTTACCTGTAGTAACCTGGTGAGTTACCTGTAGTAACCTGGTGAGTTACAGTACCTATAATAACCAGGTGAGTTACCTGTAGTAACCTGGTGAGTTACCTGTAGTAACCTGGTGAGTTACAGTACCTATAATAACCAGGTGAGTTACCTGTAGTAATCTGGTGAGTTACCTGTAGTAACCTGGTGAGTTACCTGTAGTAACCTGGTGAGTTACAGTACCTATAATAACCAGGTGAGTTACCTGTAGTAACCAGGTGAGTTACCTGTAGTAACCTGGTGAGTTACAGTACCTATAATAACCAGGTGAGTTACCTGTAGTAACCTGGTGAGTTACAGTACCTATAATAACCAGGTGAGTTACCTGTAGTAACCTGGTGAGTTACCTGTAGTAACCTGGTGAGTTACAGTACCTATAATAACCAGGTGAGTTACCTTGTAGTTAACGACTGGTGAGTTACAGTACCTATAATAACCAGGTGAGTTACCTGTAGTAACCTGATGATTTAAAACTGTAGAGGAGGACACTCAGAGTTGCTACAGTATTTGCTGATTAACTGTTACGTGATTTGTCCTACCTACTTTACTAATAATTGGCAGCATTTAGAACCATGCATATCGGAATTTGATTTCTGACACGTTTCAACAAAACAGAATAGATGTACAACTATTTTTGCTATGTTAGGCCTACTCTTGAGACAGCATTTCTTTGACAATCTTTGTTGCAGCTAAACAAAAATCCATATGAAAGGATCCATATAAGAAGATACTCAAGTTGCCAGCTGAATACGTAACATGTATACCCTCTTCTTCATTCCCAGGTACCAGGCACCTCGCTCATCCTCTTCATGTGTCTCATCCTCTTCATCATCCAGCTCTATAACATCAGGGCCCCAGACCCAGTGCTCTCCTCACCCCCAGAGACCTTCCTCAGCCATCTACACTCCATTGGAAGGTTCCATTCCAGGGGGCCCCTGAGTCTAGATTCTAGAACATTCCAATGTTCCAATGTATATCATATATGCCTATTTGCTAGGTCGAAAATATACAGGTTAGGACAATGTAATAATTCCATGCGGCAGCGTTAGAAAATAAACAATTTCCTTTTGACCAGAGCCTACATGATTAGCATAAAACATGTGACCAGTGGACAGGAAATAAGTAGTAAAGTGGCTGTAGATAATTTGTTAAACGTTTAAATTAATAGAATGACAGTAAAACAGTTATGCTACGTGTTTGATGAGTAGTTAACTGAAATTTACTACGATTGTGTTTATTTTCCAAGTTTGATGGCAAACTTTCTGTACTGCTAACATTCACTTCCAGTCATTTTCACTCGCATTGTTAGCACTGAGGTACAGTAGATTGCTAGTGCCATTGTTTATAATCCTTTCACATTTATAGAAAGATGTATGGGATATTAGAATCCTCTTGTCCTAACCTGTATATTTGACCTAGCCTATTTGCTGTCTACATTATGCAATCAACAATTTCATAGTATATTATTTCACCAAACACAATTGGTCTGTAACCAAAAGTAATTTGCATTTGTGGAAAATATTGCACTGCTGAACTTTTCATTTTTTGATAATTTTTTGCTATCATTATAGCTTGTGCTGATGATGACTAAAGTAATGTTTAGCTTTTGATGTACAGAAACATCAGAATAAATGGTACAAACTGTTACATAACATAAATTGTATGAGCTTACATTGTTTAGGGAATACAGAAAATACCTGTCTTTCAGATGAATGAACTGCCATTGACCACAACAAATAGGAGAAAAGGAAAACACCTGCCTTCACGTTTTTTTAGAGGATTTACTCGGTAATATTCTATTTTATTATATTATATTTTAGCCTGAGCCCCCAATCTCCCCAAAATGTTATAATTTTCTTACAGTAACTACAGTAAAATTATGGTCATTTTTTAATTAATTTTTTTATATAACAAAGATATGCTTTAAGATGTAAAACAAATGTGTATTCTATCAAAACTCCCGTGTTTAGTGACAGCTCTATTTGTACAGTAAGATTACGTCTCTCTCGGGGTCACATGACACACTCCTTACAGTAAAATACCAATATGGCAGAAGCGGTGGGTCTTGCGCGGTAACTAAAGCAACATAACACAGGAGCACACTGTCAAATTCAACACTAATCAGTACAAGACCGCAGCGATGAGGGAGAGACAGAAGAAGAAGAAGGGGAGGACATGGGCAGAAGCTGCTAAAACGGTATTTACTGTCGTTCTATTCAACGTTTGTTGTGCTTGTTTTCCCTTCGCTCCCACAAGTACAACTGTGTTTATGAGTTCATGACCCGCTGGTGCAGACGAAATGTTGCGTATGCAAAGCGAGGCCTACTTGTCGGTTAGAGAAGCACTGGAAGTCCATCAATATTTGCTTGACAGTCTTGTGGCTTCATTTACAGCAAATAGCTATATCAATGTGTCCATGTAGCTTGCTTTAGTTGCTGAAGTTGTAGATAGGAAATTCTGAAGATACATTATTCTTGTTTCGACCGCATACCTACGTGAGCATAATACCCACGGTCTGTCTTGCGCTGTAAAGTAAACACCAAAGTGTTGCGCGAGCGTAGAGCTAGCCTGTTAACAAGCTATGTTAGCTCTGAAATTCAGTTTTACAGCTTGTTCTGAACTAATAAAATACATTGAAACATGCCCGTTGTCAAGTGTCTAGATCTCCAGTTTAGTTCTAATCGCCCTATGTCGGTGGACACAAGCTATAACGTCAGCTAATGACCAATGAAAGACAGCTAGCATGGTAGCCAGCTTTGCTAAGCTACTGTAGTTAGCTAGCTAGCAATTTAACTATAGCTAGCTAGCTAACGTTAGTACATCAGTAGTGTTTATAAACTATTTATAAAGGTGTTTTAGCTACCTGGTCACTGTATTGGTCATTCAGTAATAGTAAAATGCTTAGCTATAGCTACACGTATTAGCAAATCATTGCTTGTTACATTGTGTAAGCAAAACACACTGACATACACTATATATACACAAGTATGTGGACACCCCTTAAAATTAGTGGATTCGGCTATTTCAACCACACCCGTTGTTGACAGGTGTATAAAATCGAGCACACAGCCATGCAATCTCCATAGACAAACATTGGTGGTAGAATGGCCTTACTGAAGAGCTTAGTGACTTTCAATGTGGCACCGTCATTGGATGCCGCCTTTCCAACAAGTCAGTTCGTCAAATGTCCACCCTGCTAGAGCTGCCCCGGTCAACTGTAAGTGCTGTTATTGTGAAGTGGAAACGTCTAGGAGCAACAACGGCGCAGCCGCGAAGTGGTAGGCCACACAAGCTCACAGAACGTGACCGCCGTGTGCTGAAGCACACAGCGCGTAAAAATCATCTGGCATCGGTTGCAACACTCACTACCGAGTTTCAAACTGCCTCTGGAAACAATGTCAGCACAATAACTGTTCGTCGAGAGCTTCATGAAATGAACACCTTTGTGATGAATTGGAACGCCAACTGTGAGCCAGACCTAATCGCCCAACTTCCGTGCCTGACCTCACTAATGCTCTTGTGGCTGAATGGAAGTAAGTCCCCGCAGCAATGTTCCAACATCTAGGGGAAAGCCTTCCCAGAAGAGTGGAGGCTGTTATAGCAGCGAAGGGAGGACCAACTCCATATATAATGCCCATGATTTTGGAATGAGATGTTCAATGAGCAGGTGTCCACATACTTTTGGTAATGTAGTGTAGCTACTTCTACTAGCTAGATGCCTGGAAACCCGACGTTGAATTCTACGTCGGGCAGAAATGAGTGTTTGAATCATTAAAGTTTCCTCTTATGGCCTCTACAAGCCAGAATGTTTAATAAAATTATATTTTAACATACTTTACCGGTTGTCCTTGCTGTTGGTCCGTTTCGTGGTATGAATGTGAGACAATATATCCACAGGAAAGTATAATTACATCAACTTTATGTAATTATACTTTCCTGTGGATATATTGTCTCACATTCCTATCCCCAAAAGAACCAACCACACCGACAACCGGCAAAGTACGTTAAAATATCATTTTATTCAACATTCTGGCTTGTAGAGGCCATGAGAGGAAACTTTCCTGATTCAAACGCTCATTTCTGCCAACATACAATTCAATGCAATTCAACGTCAGGTTTCCAGGCTACTAGCTATGTAGCTGACAGGACTACTATTCATATGAAAACCTTTGTGACATGTCATGGCTATAATTTTAGGCTACATCAGCTATGATGGTGGTGGGTGGTGTGATGGTCAAGCTTAATCTTTCTCTTATTACACAAATACACACACAAAGAAAGTGAATCATGCTTTGATGAGGTCATTGAGGTCTGTCTTATTCCAATCAAGCCATCTATTCTCTTGACTCTGGGCAAAGGCATGCAGTACATAGCTACATCATTGGGTGGGAGTTGTCGACAGGCTCAGTCTCAGAGCTTGACTTCATGTCTAAACCAACCACACCATAATGACTTAAAAACTCAGGGGTCGCATCTGAAGGAGTGCTTATCTGGGATCAGGTCCTCCCTGTCTATGTAGGCCTAATCTTATTCCTTGTGATCTAAAAGGCTAAACTGATTCTAAATCATTACTTCTATTCAGAGTCAGAGCTATGACATGACAGCACCGATACTATAGAACACCTCAGTTGAAGCTTGCTCATTTGACATGCTGTAGCGTCTTTCATTTGACCTCATACGTCAGAGCAATTTCATACCCCTAGGCACAACTATAGAATGGTGGGTTGATAATGTGTAGTAACACCATAAGCAATGTAAATACTAGGACAGGTGGAAGTATGTTGTTGTCTTTTGGCTAGATGTTGTTTACATTCCCAAGGGGTTTTATGCATGTATTACACATTATTACACTGCAATCCATTGACAGATTTTGTGCTGTATTTTCTCAGGTATTGGAAAAGTACCCGAACACACCCATGAGCCACAAAGAGATCCTACAGGTGATCCAGAGGGAGAGACTGAAAGAGATCAGGTAAATGAACCGTTTCTCATATGTCTTCTGTGTGTTCTCAAAGGAAAAGGTCCCTTCTTAGACTCGTTGTTTAGCTTCCTTTAGTCCCAATCTCTGTTTGGACTTCATTTTTGATACACAGTTTGGACTTCATTTTTGATACACAGGATCAGGGCCCCGTGTTCATAAAGTGTCTCAAGTATGAGTGCTGATCCATGATCAGTTTTGTTATTTTATATCGCAATGAATAAGATTACATGTACAGGGTGGGACCTGATCCCAGATAAGCACTCCTACTCTGAGACTCTTTATGAATAAAGGATCAGCCCAGTTGTGTTTCTGAAGAGCCAGGCATAATGTCCTCTTTATGATTGATTGCTCATGTTCTTTCCCTTTTTATGTTCATTTTCTTGTTGGTAATTATTACATTCACATAATTCTAATGATTTCATTTCTTTTTTAATTTTTTTCACTCTTGTCATCTAGAAGGTAAGACAAAGCTAGTTTTGCCCAACTCCCTCTCTTGACAAACTCACTAAAATGTTGTTTTGTTTTTTCAATTGCATGTTATTTACAACTTGTAACAAGAAGAACAGCATGGCATTACGAACATGTTATTGCATGTTAGGTATTGTTATTTCAGCCAGCACAGCTTAATCATTTCATCAGTAGTTGTTATACTCTGAATACAGTACACTGGTGCTTGATTCACACTATAGGGCCAAACTGAGCCAGGCCAAGCCGAACTGTACTGGGTTGGCCAGCTAGGCCTGGCTATGCATCCACCATAGTTGCTGAAACTATGCTGGAAATGGCAATGTGAAAAGAAAAGGTCAGAGCCAGCACAGTACAGTTGAAGTCGGCTCTTTATTGTGAACCAGGCATTGCTGTCTCCTCCCTCCAGTGGCCTGTCAGCTGTCTGATTCATTGAGTGTAACTGGCTCTTCCCCTGTTATCTAGTGGTACTTCCCCGCTGGCCTGTCTTAATGCTATGCTCCACACCAACTCTCGCGGTGAAGAAGGGATCTTTTACAAAGTACCTGGACGAATGGGGGTCTATACACTGAAGGTCAGTTTCTAATTTCTATGACTCAAACGCATGTAACAAATGAATGCTGACAAGTGAGATTGACATAGAGTTTTCAGATATGCCTTACATTTTTTTTGTACTAATAGTCAGTGTCACTTTGTAAAGAATGATGAGATGTTAAAAGCATGTATGATGACACTGCTTCTCTGTGGAAGGAGAGTGAAAAGTAGAGCAACATTATGATACACACAGCAAGCTTATCAAACAATTACACATTCACATGAATCATTGTTCATTGCTCTGAATGTTAGGAGTCACTCAAAGCAGTCCGCGTTATGGTGTTGTGTAATATCTTATGGGGGTGTTTAATATCTTATGGGGTGTTAATATCTTATGGTGGTGTGTAATATCTTATGGGGGTGTTTAATATCTTATGGTGGTGTGTAATATCTTATGGTGGTGTGTAATATCTTATGGGGGTGTTTAATATCTTATGGTGGTGTGTAATATCTTATGGTGGTGTGTAATATCTTATGGTGGTGTGTAATATCTTATGGTGTGTGTAATATCTTATGGTGGTGTGTAATATCTTATGGTGGTGTGTAATATCTTATGGTGGTTGTTGTAATATCTTATGGTGGTGTGTAATATCTTATGGGGTGTGTAATATCTTATGGTGTTGTGTAATATCTTATGGTGTTGTGTAATATCTTATGGTGTTGTGTAATATCTTATGGTGGTGTGTAATATCTTATGGGGGTGTAATATCTTATGGTGTGTGTAAATATCTTATGGTGTGTGTTATATCTTATGTGTGTGTAATATCTTATGGGGGTGTGTAATATCTTATGGTGGTGTGTAATATCTTATGGTGGTGTATAATATCTTATGGTGGTGTGTAATATCTTATGGTGGTGTGTAATATCTTATGGGGGTGTATAATATCTTATGGTGGTGTGTAATATCTTATGGTGGTGTGTAATATCTTATGGGTGGTTGTGTAATATCTTATGGTGTTGTGTAATATCTTATGGTGTTGTGTAATATCTTATGGTGTTGTGTAATATCTTATGGTGGTGTGTAATATCTTATGGTGGTGTGTAATATCTTATGGGTGGTGTGTAATATCTTATGGTGGTGTGTAATATCTTATGGTGGTGTGTAATATCTTATGGGGGTGTGTAATATCTTATGGTGTTGTGTAATATCTTATGGTGGTGTGTAATATCTTATGGTGTTGTGTAATATCTTATGGTGTGTGTAATATCTTATGGTGGTGTGTAATATCTTATGGGGGTGTGTAATATCTTATGGTGGTGTGTAATATCTTATGGGGGTGTGTAATATCTTATGGTGGTGTGTAATATCTTATGGTGGTGTGTAATATCTTATGGTGGTGTGTAATATCTTATGGTGTTGTGTAATATCTTATGGTGGTGTGTAATATCTTATGTGGTGTGTGTTGTTGTAATATCTTATGGTGGTGTGTAATATCTTATGGTGGTGTGTAATATCTTATGGTGGTGTGTAATATCTTATGGGGGTGTGTAATATCTTATGGGGGTGTGTAATATCTTATGGGGGTGTGTAATATCTTATGGGGGTGTGTAATATCTTATGGGGGTGTGTAATATCTTATGGGGGTGTGTAATATCTTATTGGGGTGTGTAATATCTTATGGGGGTGTGTACTGTATGTTATATAATGTGTGTGTATATTATGTATACAATGTGTACTGTATGTTGTGTGTACTGTAATTGGTTAATACTATGTATATGTTCTGTGTGCTATGTGGTTGTGTATAATGTAATATATGCCAGATAATTAGTGTATAATGTGTGTATATATATATATATGTATGTTGTGTGTCTGTGAGTAGAAGGACATTGGGGATGTGGTGAAGGAACTGTCTGAGGAGGGGTCAGAGGTGAAGGAGCTGTCTGAGGAGGGGTCAGAGGAGCTGTCTGAGGAGGGGTCGGAGGTGAAGGAGCTGTCTGAGGAGGGGTCAGAGGAGGACGGTAGTGATAATCTGTCTGATTCCCAGAGAAGCACAGAGAACAACAACTACAACACTAACAACCAGGAGGGCAGGAGGGGACGGTGGAGGAGGAGAGGTACGCTACTACTTCACAATATATTTACAACATCACTCTCCTTTTAATGATGAGATGGGGAGGAGGAGAGGTAGGATATACAGGTAACTGCCAAAATAAAGGAAACACCAACATACAGTGTCTTAATAGGGTGTTGGGCCACCACGAGCCAGAACAGCTTCAATGCACCTTGGCATAGATTCTACTGTAGAAGTTCCTGGAACTCTATTGGAGGGATGCGACAACATTCTTCCACGAGAAATTCCATCATTTGGTGTTTTGTTGATGGTGGTGGAAAACGCTGTCTCAGGCACCGCTCCAGAATCTTGTGACTGAGACGGACATGGCATATGGTTTACATCGTTTTCATGCTCATCAAACCATTCAGTGACCACTCGTGTCCTGTGGATGGGGGCATTGTCATCCTATGGGGGCATAGCCTGCCCCAGAGAGGAAGAGGCGGAGTGAAAGGTTTTACTCCACCCAAAATCTGTCCACGAAAAGAAGCCCACGAAGTGAGGAGTCTTTGTATGGAGGTCAATGATAGAGTAGAATTTGGTAGTTACCTGTATTTCAGCTTCACCTTTTCCCATGATGATTAGGCTATATTATTGCAGCACTTGAAATTGACTGAAATAGGTGCTGATGCTCATTTGGGTGCCGACCATACTCTTTATATTTTGGTGCCGGTCCACCCAAGCACTAAGTTTGGTGGTGTTTCTATTTTCACTATTGAGTTTGCAGCTTTACATCTTGTGATAAATACTGTACATACATCAGACTGTTTCCCATCTTAGTAACACTTTAGAAGGAGATGAAGTTTCGGCCATTTCTGTCATTATTTCTCTCCTGTTATAACAGGAAATAGTTTTTTTTATTTTTTATTATGTTTGTGCCAGATCTGTGAACACTTCCTCATGTACACATATGAACGAGTTAAGGAACCGTTGAAACAAAGTAATAGCATATCTTCTGAACACAAGGATATCTTGTTTTCTGTTTCTGTTTTCTGTTGTTATTGTTTTTAATACCAATGCAAAAAAATCCATCCGAGCAAATGCTATCAAAAGAACCACAGAGACACAAGTCAAAGGGTTACAGCTACGGTGAGTGAGAAATGAACGCGCAAGCCTTGTAAAAAAACAGGAAATAACTGTTGTTTTAAGTAAGCTTACTACTAACAGGTGGGGTTTTTTGGCGGTTGAAAAGACAAAGATTCTTCGTTTAAAAAATCTAGGCCAAATGTTTGTGTATGTTTTCTTCAATCTTTTAATTAATTAAATATCTAGATGCAACATAGATTTGATAGTGTATGAGGTCAAAAAAACATATCTGCTTTGGTATATCCATCTTAAAGATGAACTGAAACACTAAAATCAGCAGCCAACTTGTGTTTTCTTGTTGATGTTATCAGCTTTTTGGATGTGAACATTGGGGGTTGATGTTTCTAAGCCTAATAATGTGTTGTTCACTGTCTGTCTAAGTTGTGCTATGTTGTGTTTCCTTCCCAGGGCCCTCCAAGCTGCCGCCTGATCCTTCGTCTCCTCAGCCACGCTGTTCATCTCCCTCTGTCCCCAGCAGCAAGCTCATCTCTCCCTCACAGAAACACAGCAAGAAGGCCCTCAAACAGGTATTGCCCTCGGTCTCGATTTCACTGGTTAATAGAAATGTCAAATATTTTTTTTTCTCAACCAGACTAACCTGGGTAAATAAAGGTTAAATAAAGTACTGCTGCTGACCTGTTGCCTCCTGAGTCTCAGTGATGCTCCCTGTGCTAATATAGCTCTAATTGCTGTAATTTGGCTAAAGACACCAGTTTTGTAGAATAAAACACCAGTTTTGTAGACTAAAACACCAGTTTTGTAGACTAAAACACCTGTTTTGTAGAATTAAACACCCGTTTTGTAGACTAAAACACCTGTTTTGTAGAATTAAACACCAGTTTTGTAGAATAAATGCACGCATGACGTTCACGGTGCTTGTTAAATTTAACTGCTTCTTTGTTACAAAAACATATTGTGTAAGTAATTTTAAAACATAATGGGATGTGGGTGAGAGGGGAAAATAAACGCCTTTGTATTCATTTCCTCACAAACCATTGGTCACAATATGCATCTGAAATAGCACCCTATTCCCTATATAGTGCACTACTTTTTACTAGAGCCCTATGCTGGCCCTGGTCAAAAGTAGTGCACTATATAGGGTGCCATTGTGGACGCACAATTAGCCTTTTGTGCTCCACATAATTAGATTTCAGTTGATTGCACAGATCGTAATTAATTCCATCTGCACTGCTGTGGAATTTTCAGCTGTGTGTGTGTGTAAGAACAGTTTTATGGGTTTATTAGGCAAAAAGAAACCCCAGTCAGATGAAGATTTGGCTCCAAGGTGAGGCACACAGAGTAGAGTAGACAGTGGGTGTATTTTCCATCTGTAACTGTTATACTGTAACAATAGAGAGAAGGAAGAATAGTGAATGATTTGGTCACGTGAAAATGTAGGCTAATGCCACTTATTTCATTGTGGAGTTTTTTTAAATCACTTGCCTGTTATACAGTATGACTAATTTGCGATAGTGGAAGTGGTGATGATTCTAGACTACATCACATAATATACACTACACATTTGGTTCAAAATGTAAATTATAAACTGGGTGGTCGAGCCCTGAATGCTGATTGGCTGACAGCCGTGGTATATCAGACTGTATACCACAGGTATGAGAAAACATGTATTTTTACTGTTCTAATTACATTGGTAACCAGTTTATAATAGCAATAAGGCACCTCGGGGGTTTGTGGCATATGGCCAATATACCATGGCTAAGGGCTGTATCTGCGTTGTGTCTGTATCCGCTTTGTGTCGTGCATAAGAACAGTCCTTAGCTGTGGTATATTGGCCATATACCACACCCCCTCGGGCCTTAATGCTTAATTATGCCACGTAGAGTCTATGACAGGAGCTGACATTCATCACTGGTAAATAATCTATTATTTTCCTTCTTCCTCTTCTCTGTTCCACAGGCCCTGAAGCAGCAGCAGCAGAGGAACCAGCGGAGACATGTGGGCATGCCCACAACCTCCAGCCCTAGACTACTCCTTAAGACTGTCAAGGACATGGCTGACACCATCGCCACTAAGACCGGTAGGTGTCTGACGTCGACATATCCAGTACAGTATGTTGTTTATATACATCCTTAGTAGAAGCCTACAGGAAACACAAACAATCCCTATCGATGATGATCAGTGGTCATCTCACATCTAACACTAGTCTCTACCCTTATACAAAGCAGTGTGGTTATAGCTTTCTTTCTTATCCAGTTCCAAAAAAATGATTTTAAATGTAGTGTATCCATTTGTGTGGCTGAATTGTGTTTAAATCAAATCAAATCATGTTCCTCTCTCTCTCTGTCTGTCCAAGCAGACTCCTGTCCTGCTGCTGGTACCAGGAAGATGTCCCAGAGGTCAAGTCGACTCAGTGCACGTCAGTAGTAGAGTCATCCAGCTTGTCTTTGTCATTTAAATATAGTAGGCGTATACATGCCAGTCTGTTGGCCTGGTCCCAGATCTGTTTGTGCTGTCTTGCCAACTCCTATAGTCATTGACATGCCAAACATAGCAACAACCATAGGAGTTGTCTACAGCACAAACAGATAGAACCAAGCTCAGTATAGTACCAAGTCTCTGTATCCTCTCTTGTTCTTTTGTATGATTTACTGTTCTCTTGTGTTGTTGTCTCCAGGGCAACTGAAGCGTACCAAATGTGCAGAGATAGACGTTGAGACACCAGACTCTATCCTGGTTAACACCAACCTACGTGCCCTGATCAACAAACACACCTTCTCTGTCCTGCCCACAGAGTGCCAACAAAGTCTACTCACACTACTGCCTGAGGTCGACCAACAGGTGGGGACATACTAGTCATCATTAGGTCTCTGCTACCTGAGGTCGACCAACAGGTGGGGACATACTAGTCATCATTAGGTCTCTGCTGCCTGAGGTCGACCAACAGGTGGGGACATACTAGTCATCATTAGGTCTCTGCTGCCTGAGGTCGACCAACAGGTGGGGACATACTAGTCATCATTAGGTCTCTGCTGCCTGAGGTCGACCAACAGGTGGGGACATACTAGTCATCATTAGGTCTCTGCTACCTGAGGTCGACCAACAGGTGGGGACATATTAGTCATCATTAGGTCTCTGCTGCCTGAGGTCGACCAACAGGTGGGGACATATTAGTCATCATTAGGTCTCTAGCGACAGAGAGGTTTAAAACCAAGAGACTCAACATGCGATTAATTCCTGTAATCGTCCACCTGTATAATTCCTGTATTCATTATTCGGATTCCGTTGCAAAACGTTTGGTCTGTTGCGAAACGTTTTGCAACGGAAACCGTTTACTCCAAATGGAAAATGTTTTGCAAAGAAAACTGAAGTTTATGTTGAACAGTTTCAGGTAGGTTCCTCCCCGTTTCGTTCCGTTTGCTCTGTTTGGTTCCTGGAGTAAACGGTAAACGGTTTCCGTTGCAAAACGTTTTTCAACAGACAAAACATTTTGCAACGGGATCCGACTAATGAATACACCCCAGGTACCAGGTATTTGCAGGACATAATCGCAAATACTGATGATGGTAATGAAGATGATGGTGATGATGATGATGATGATGATAGGGATAATAATTGCTGCAGTTTGATGATGATGATGGTGAGGAGGATGGTGAGGAGGATATTGATAATGATGATTATGATAGTGATAATGATGCTGCAGCTTGTGATGATGATTATGAGAGTGATAGTGATAATGATGGTGATGATGATGCTGCTGCTTGTGATAATGATGATGATGGTGATAGTGATGATGTACATACATATTTCTGTCTGTATCTCTAGGTCTGTATGGATGGTCTGTTGAAGGTCACCAGTTCTGCCTTGAACAATGAGTTTTTCACATCAGCAGCTCAGTCCTGGAAGGAACGACTGGCAGAAGGTCAGTCCTTCTAGCCTGGTCTGAGATCTGTTTGTGCTGCCTTGCTAATGGTCATTGGCTTGATAATGACCATTGGCAAGACCGCACAAACAGATCTTGGACCAGGCTATTGTGTTTATGCTTCAAAATAGAACATGGATAAAATGTGTTAATACTCACCTTTTTAAAGTTTTCATTAAACATGATATTTTTCATATTTCCATAAACTCGGTTTTTAAATGTCTCGTAAAACTTTTTATATTTTCCAAACCACCCAGGTGAGTTCACTCCTGAGTTGCAGCTGAGAATGCGTCAGGAGATTGAAAAGGAGAAGAAGGTGGAGCATTGGAAGGAGAGCTTCTTTGAGAGCTACTATGGTGAAAAGTAAGTCATTTTTCAGGGCTTGAATCTTTAAAATATAAGGCAATTCTTGTTATATAAAGCTTTATTTCTCAGAGACCAAACTTGCTACTTGTAATTTATATACTTTCAACATTCTTGATTTATCCTTTCTTTATGCAATTGTCTGATCTCGCTCTCTCTCTCTCTCTCTCTCTCTCTCTCTCTCTCTCTCTCTCTCATTCTCTATGTCTCCCTCCCTCCCTCTGTTCCTATCCAGCTCTGGACTCAGCTTAGAGGAATCCAAAGAGCTGCTTGAATCTGGTCTCAGTCTGGAGCTCTCAGCCACCAAAGCCCAGTCGTCTCCTCCAACACAGCCACGTCCTGCTGGTCCACCACTGCTAGATCCCAAGATCCCTGCTAACAGCTGCCAGACTCGCTCTTCAGAGAGGAGGCTCCGATCATCATCACTGCCCATAAACCCGACATGTAAACCAATAGAACCTCCATATAAACCTATAGAGCCTCCCAAGCCAAGGCCAGAGCCAGAGCCTGTTCAAGAAGAACCAGTACCAGTCCCACCCGTTGTACTACCAGTTGTACTACCGGTGCTGCCAGCGAAGATCGTTCAGAAGACACTGGAGGTTGAGTACCCCAGACACAGGACTCGTAGCAGAGGTTTATCCCTACCTATAGTGGCAGTGGAGGCAGCTGTTGTGCGGAGACAGGATGTGGTGAACTCAACCTCAACGGTTCCACTTGGAGAGAAGCAGAAGGAGGAAGAGGAGGAGCAGGATTTGAAAGAAGCCCAGCCGGAGACCCCCCAGTCCCCTAAGATCCCCCCATCCCCTGAGATCAGCCTGTCCCCTGAGATCCCCCCATCCCCTGAGATCCCCCCGTCCCCTGAGATCCCCCCGTCCCCTGAGATCCCACCATCCCCTGAGATCCACCCGTCTCCTGAGATCCCCCCGTCCCCTGAGATCCCACCATCCCCTGAGATCCACCCATCCCCTGAGATCCCCCCGTCCCCTGAGATCCCCCCGTCCCCTGAGATCCCCCCGTCCCCTGAGATCCCCCCGTCCCCTGAGATCCCCCCATCCCCTGAGATCCCCCCATCCCCTGAGATCCCCCCGTCCCCTGAGATCCGCCAGTCCCCTGAGATCCCACCATCCCCTGAGACCCCTGAGATCCGCCAGTCCCCTGAGATCCCACCATCCCCTGAGACCCCTGAGATCCGCCAGTCCCCTGAGATCCCACCATCCCCTGCCCAGGAGAGTCATCCAGAGGTCTGCCCCCAGATGAAGCTCAGTTCATCACTGCCCATCGACCTTCCAAAGCCAGAGCCTCTGGGCGTGGACAAGCATAGTGCGAAGAGGAGGGAAGATGTTGACGTTACACCAGAGAGAGGAGCCTCAGCCCCCGTGTCAGTCACCCCTGTATCCACCCCTGTATCCACCCCTGTATCCACCACCCCATCCCCGGAGCCGTTGAAAAGGAAGTCCTCATCCAGTGAACAGGAAGTAGAGCTGACTCCAGAGAAGAGGGCCCGCATCACTCCACCAGCAGTATCCGTGGTAACCTCTCCAGCAGCCACAGTAGCAACAGCACAGAGAGTGCCTCCGCTTAAGGTAAACAGTCATTTTTTTAAACAATTTAATATTGTATATTGGAATGTATTTGTGGTGAATAAAAGCTTCAGGTACGAATACTGTGTTTACTAAAACCAGGAAGGCCCACACATAAAAAAACAACAACAAAAAACATGTATTTCTTGTTCACTTTGTTTTTCAGATTACTGTGTCGCGAATCCTATCAGTCCCAGTCCTTGCATCTCCAACCCAGGTATCCCCCAAGACCCCTCTCCCTGTCTCCCTCAGTCCCAGTCCCAGCCCTGGTCCTAGCCCCGGACGCATTGGTGCTCGCACTCTGGCTGACATCAAGGCTAAAGCCCAGCTAGCCCGGACCCAACATGCAGCAGCAGCTGCAGCCAGCTCCTCCTCTAAAGGTGCAGTACCAGGCCCAGGACCAGGAGGAGGCAGTGGAGAGCAAATAAACCATAGAGCTTCAGCCCAGACCCTCCACTCCAGACCCTCCTTCTCCACCCAAAGCTCCACCCAGTCTCAGTCAACCACCAGGCTGCCAGCAAGCAGCAACATTGGTCAATTTACCTGTCAATCACCCGATGCAGTCACCACACCAGCCCACTCCCGTTCTGTCCAATCAGGCTCCTCTGTGCCCTTTGACCTTAGCCTGTCTCAAAGAAGCTCCAACACCAGCAGAGCGTCTCTCACTGATGACCGACAGAGAGGCTACTCTGCTGGTAACATGAACCTAGTTTCTCTGATGGGCCCTCAACATGGGAACATTCAACATACATCATACCCATCAGGTCCCCAGTCAACCTCTAGCTACACTTCATCTGTGTGTGGTGTGAAGAGCCAGTATGTATCTGGAGGCTCCATGGCAGCCAGGGCTAGCCACTTCATCCCAGCCAACAACCCTCTGGTCACCTCTCTCCTCCAGGGGAAAGAGATCCCTCTGGAACAGATCCTCCCCAAGCCGCTGGCCAAGGCAGAGGTCCAAGTGGCCCAGGCCAAACCCTCCCATGATGACAAATGGAAGATAAAGTCCCACAGCACAGCCGGGACAGCCAGTGGTGAAAGCCAGATTCAGTACCTACACGTTGGTAGTGTGGATGACTACAGTAGATCTAAACAGCAAGGATCCATAGGCCAGTCTCCCTTATTTAAGTTGGCAGAGCTCCAGCACCATCAAAGGGAAACACCTAACAAAGACACCCAGGAGCAGATCCTCCAGGCTCTGATGCAGAGGACCACCCAGCAGCACCAGAACCAGCCGTATGGGGTCTCGGGCGCAGGCGGGGCTCAGCGTACCCAGTTTGGAGCCTGTAATCTGGGGCACCAGGAGGAGTGTGGGGACCGTCCCCGGTTCTCCGCTGGGTTCCCTGGACGGAAGAGGATGTCCAGGCCTGCCATGTCAGGGCACTACCTCCTCAATGTCTCCACGTACGGACGAGGCTCAGAGAGCAGTAAAAGCTCCCACCCATTGGCCACCGCTAACACCTCACTGACCCCTCAGGCCAATCTGAAGAGAGAACACACAGAGGGAGAGGAGCTGGCTGACGAATGGGAGGAGTCAGTGGAGAATAAGCCTCATTCTCATTCTAACTCAGCGGGAGGAGTCAAGATGGAACAGCAGGGCTTCTCAATCACAAAAATGGGTGAAGCTCTGGGCTTTCAACACTGTTCCAGGATAAAATCTGAGTCTCCATCGGTGGAGGGCTGTCTACCGGAGCAGGAGGACAACAGTTCAGCCAGTACAGAGAGAGACAGTGGCACTTCTGCAAGAGCCAAAGAAACCAACCTTTTCACCCAATCACAGCACAGGTGGCACCTGGAACTTTGCAATAGTAAACTGGGTGGTCATTGTGAGCCATATCGGGTATCTATATCTCCCCACGTGGGGACCATGGACCCCAGTCACCCCAGTACTCACCAGCATTCGTCTGCCTTTCAAACCGAGAGACCTCCAATCGATAATCAGGAATCCATGGTGGGGTCCTGCTACGGTGGCACCATCAGCATGTCTGTACCTCACGCTCTGAGTCTGAACCACAGTGCTGCTGTTTCAAGCACCGCTTCCAGCGCCTCCCCCTCTGTGTCAGGTAGTGGTGGGGACAGCGGCAGTGGCACCAGCAGTGTCATGTCTTTCTCAGTGACCGTCACTACCATACCTGCCGGTCACCCATTGGACCACAGAAGCCAGGGGGAGGGGTCTCCAGAGCAGGGGTTTATGGCGGGATCTGGTATAGAGGACGTTCAGTCTAAATGCTACTGCCGACTCAAAGCTATGATCATGTGTAAAGGGTGTGGGGCCTTTTGCCATGACGATTGCATTGGCCCTTCGAAACTCTGTGTCTCGTGTCTAGTGGTACGATAAAACTAATAATAATGTCATAAATGTAGAAAGGATTTGTTTCAAATCTTTATTATTGCACCAAGGAACAAATCAGCATCAAGTCATCTACCATTGTCAAGACGTAGTTACCAGCAGGGTTGGGGTTAATTCCATTTCAATTCAGGAAGTAAACTGATTTGAATTCCGATTCTAATTTAAATAAATAAATAAAGTGGAATTGCAAAGTCAGTTTATTTCCTGAATTGACTAAATTGAAGTGGAATTGACCCGAACCATGGTTACCAGGGTAAAATGCACAGTGGCCATACTCAACCCAACCCATGGTTTTCAGTGGGGGGGGGGGGCAAAGCATTTACACTGGACGATCATAGTCTTCTTTCATCTATTCGATCTGAGAAAGAGTGGTCTGTTTTCTGCAATTCACAGTAGTAGTTTTGTTTTGATCAGTTCAATTCAAATCTGCACCTTTCAGACTTGAGATATGTTGAATCTTGGCAATACTTTGCACTTGGACATGTTGTTGTTCTATATTTTTGTAAAGATAGTTTAGATTTTTAAAAAGTTAGAAAAAAATGAATGTTGCTATTTTTGTAGAGCGTAATAACAATGTTATTATGTTAAAGACTGCCACTCCTTGTTGTGGAGTTTAAGTTATGATGTTTTAAAAGGTGAAGAAGGGAGTTCAATGTATATTCATAGACCCGTTGTGGTTTGCGTGTAGTTGGGGAAGTACAAATATACTGATTTATATAGATTTTAAAGGGTGCAATCAATCATTTATATATTTACAGTACTAGAAACATTCTTACAGATATATAAAAAGACAATAGATATTTGAAATTATAATTTTGATTATAAAAAAGATTATGTCACATAATGATTGCACTTAGCTTTTCTAAGTACTAACAGTTACTGGGCAAAGGACTTGAATGACATGTAGTGTACACTGTACATGTAGTGTACAGCCTTCGTACTCTAACATGGTGATGAAAAGTTAAAGCACTTCACAGATAAATTGATAAATAGTGCCCTTCGAGGAGCAAGCTGAGTAGCCTGGTTCCAGATATGTTTGTATTGTTTTATGACAGTGGCCATAGGAGTTGTCAATACAGCACTAACAGATCTGGGGCAAGGCTACTAACTAAGGTCTTTCCCATTTCAGTCTAAGATCATTGGTGAAGTTTACCGACACCGTGAACCGACATTGTCTCCTCCTAAAGCCTCGACTTATAGATATTCTGTCTCATGACACATTTGTTTTCATACTTGGATGCTTGTTTGTGTGTAGCAACGTAACTATTAGCCGTGATGGACAGTTAAAACACTCAGAGAAAGAAGGGAGAAAAATGAAGATTTCTGTTCTTGTATTATTCTTTTGCTTTGTAAATATTGGCTTTCATTAAGCTATATTTAGAAATTCCTTCTCTAGCTAAGCTTTATGTACGTTGCTTAAGCATATCCAACATTATATCCAACATGATATGTTTTTATTGCAAAAGAGTTTATATCTCTAAAAGAATCTACACAAAAATGTGTATTTAAACGCTAAATGCTGTACTATCAAGAAACCATTCAAAGTATAGGCTCCTGGTATATACAGGTTGATAGGGAGGTAGAGGTACAGTTTACTACATACAAAGCAAAGGAACATCATATGGGTATGCATGGTGATTGCAATTATAAAATCTAAATGTATCAATCGTATTTTTGAAATGATCTGACTAAAACTAAAGATAGTTGCTGAGTACCGGTATATTTTATATAAATAATTTCCATGGTAACATGCCAAAGTCACCTTGTGAAAACTAAATGGTCAGATCTCGTTTTTTTTTTAATGTTTGACTAGTTAAAGAAAGTAATATATTTTAAGTAATATATTTTAATATAAAAAAATCTATTTGCAAATCTTTTTTTTTAAAGAACAGGGTATTTTTTTAAAAATGTTTTTGTTTGAGTGGACAGACCAATTACTTTTGTAACAAGAAAATTCCCAGGTTTTCTGGTTCTGTATGACCCATGTATTTTTGTCCTTTTCCACTGAAGTCCTGCCTGGAATATTTTAACCCTCTGAACTGTATGCTCTTGTAATGACTTTGGTTAATAAGATAAGAGTCTTTGTTTTATGTCTTACACATATTTTCAGCATTAACTATGTGCTTATTTAGGGAAAAATTAATGCCTGTAAATTAACAATACAATTTCATGGCACCGTTTGTAAGTGGTCAGTGGATTGGATCCAGGCCCTGTGTGTGTGTGTGTGTGTGTGTGTGTGTTTTTTTTTTTTTAAAGGTTAGTTGATGTCTTCATTTACGGTCACATGATTGTCAAAAAGTTCACAAAGACTGCGTCCCAAATAGCACCCCTATTCCCTTTATAATGTAGGGCAGGGTTGCCCAACCCTGTTCCTGGAGAGCTACCCTCCTGTAGGTTTTCACTCCAACCCCAGGTGTTACTGACCTGATTCATCTTATCAACCTGCTAATTATTAGAATCAGGTGTGCTAGATTAGGGTTGGAGCAAAAACCTACAGGACGGTAGCTCTCCAGGAACAGGGTTGGAGTGAAAACCTACAGGACGGTAGCTCTCCAGGAACAGGGTTAGGCAGTCTTGCTGTAGGGAATAGGGCGCCAATTGGGAAGCAACCAAATGGTTCAGATATGGAGGGTTCATATTTTGTAATGATATAAAAGAGACCTTATATTTATTGAAAACCTATTAAGGAAGTTTAGTATTGAGTATTAATGGGTTTTAAAAAAAAAAGAAAAAAAAAAGTGTTCTGTTGACTGACTTGTGTAAGTTGCGATGGTGACTGGATTGCAAAGAGAACGTTGTTTTTACCAACATTTTGTAAACAGGCAGCTAACGTCTTTATTGATGAATCATTTATTTAGTAGCCTACTCCTCTTTGTTCTTATTCTCAAACCTTGATTGACTTTTTTTAAAGCAATTGATAGCCTAAATTCTGAGGGATATATTGATTAGATCCATTTTTAACCCAAGGACAAAAAGTAAAGGTGAGGATAGATTTGGAGGAAAAGTTTCCTAAGTGTCATCGGGCAATCAATAATGGTTTGAAAATGTCTGTCTGTTTGTCTTGTGAAGTGTGCGTTCCCCTCAGTCTGTCATTTTTGCTGTTTTTAGATTTTAAAGTCTCCATTTTAAAATGCAGGTGAATGTAATATAGTAATCAGCACTTGTCAACAAATAGTATTTTATCAAACGATATTATGAATAAATAACAATGACAAAACATTTTGATTGTGTGTGACATTTGTATGTCAATCAAATTCAATCATACATATTTTATAAAGCCCTTTTTACATCAACAGTTGTCACAAAGTGCTTTACAGAGACCTGGCCTATACCCTGAAGAGCAAACAATGCAGAAGCAGAAGCACAGTGGCCAGGAAGAACTCTCTAGAAGGAAGGGACCTAGGAGGAAACCTAGAGAGGAACCAGACTCAGAGGGGTGGAGCATCCTCTTCTGGCTGTAACTGTTAGTTGACTCTAATACTAGTACAACTTACACAATAGGCATACTATCGGTACCATATCACATTACTACAGTAGGCTTTTACACTTGCCTCATCTTTCACACTTCACTAAGAAGAGATACAATCCCCAGTTCAGATGCATGTTGTTTCCATATTACGCATTAGAAAAATATGCTACAGAGAAAGTATATTGTTGCTCTGAATGTTGTTGCACACCTGCTGACTATCCCATATCATATAACTATAATGCACATGAAATATATCAACAAACCGGGGTCGATGTGATGCGCGCGCAGCCCCATGTTGCTTGCCTGCGCTTTGCTGTTCGGTCGTTCATGATGCTGAGGAGAGAGCGCGGCGCTCTTAAATTGTTATGAGACACCACTACCAAAGATTTTTATAACTAACCCAAGATAAACCAGAGCCTGTCGTTAACAATGGGAGCAAATGAATCATAGTGGGCAGAACAAGCAAGGAGGTGGGCAGAGCCAAGCAGGAGCTGGTGAGATCCTATTTGCGCGTTCTAGCATTTATTTGCCAATACCTACTGTGTGAACTGCGCGTGTGCAATAACTAAATTCGCCCTTGCACTCATTTTAAACAACGCAATTTTTAGAGACTTTGGCAAAGGGTAAAGTCTACAAAACGCAGGCAACTCTGTTACAGATTTTAGTTTTGGAAAACTGTATGGAGATCAAATGTTTCATCGATAAGAAAATGTGCAGAATGTCGGCCAAAATCCATCTCACTCTCACTGCCTGCCACTGGGCTTCCTCTCATCACCATATTTGGTAGTGAGTGGAAACGACAACCGGATGCTTCACATTTATACGTCCGGTGAAATATGTGTCTCATTGTTCTATCTGTGCCACCACCGTCCACAGCAATTCTGAGTCGTAGGCTATGAAACAGGAAACGCACTGGATGTAAAGATGTTTAATATCAATCATTTTGCATTGCTCGGACAGCAATAACGAACGAATGCGGACAGACAGCGTGTGACATTTGTCAAAGGTGAGACTGAGCGCAGCGATGATTCACGAAGGAAATATCCTGACTACTTATATCCTCTTCATCTGATGTTATAAACGTAACTTGCGTGATTTTCAAACTGGTAAGGCTAATATATGTATCATTCTCATTTAAATAGCCTATATAATGCAGAAGGCACATTTAAATTAGGCCACTACAAATGTCTTAGTAGGGTAGATATTTAGGGGAAATTATCATATCGCAAATGAATATTTCTTTAAGAACACTCATATTGCGGAAACAAGGTAAATAGGGAGTTAAAACAGCAATATGGCCGCGTCCGTCGTTCGGTTCCTTCCAGATCTGAGACGCATAAAGTATTGTAAAGCTAACGATTCGTCACGGAGAGCGTTTGAGCATTTCCATGGAGACAGAAGTGGGTGATGTTTTAGCTTTTCGAGCCCTGTAGCTACCACTGCAGTGACTGAGTCCTCCGAATGTTGACTCACGTAAAAGGATGTTGTCATTAGCTAGGCTACCAACTCGACAAGGTGC